CTCTCTCTCTCTCTCTCTCTCTCTCTCTCTCTCTCTCTCTTGCTCTCTCGCTCTCTCGCTCTCGTGCCCCAGGCTCTTACAACCGTTCCAGGGACCGTCATCGACATCATCAGCATCCTGCGCACACGTCCCGGCTATGGTCACCATGCAGCCACACCCAAGTGCCTGTGCATGCACCTTCTCCCGGTCATGTGACTAGCTCCAGAGCGGCATCGCTGCCGCGACGTACGCCACTGGGCATATGCCGCCCGTGGTGCCAAGCACTTTCGCCCTCGACCTCTCGAGCAAATGGTCCCGACTGTGTATCTGAGCCCCAGGCCCCGGACAGTTGGGTGGCAACCGTGCGTCGTGGCCTTGTGTCACACGCCGCTCTCTCATTGGTCAGCGGCATGTGTGCGACGTGGAAGTGAGTAGAGCCAGGTCCTACAGGCCTAGGCGGCCAGACCATGAATATGCCTGCCAGGCTTGAGAAAACCGGCCCCCGGGCAGACTAGGCCTGTTTCCAGCCCAGGGGTGCATCCATAAGGCCCTGCGGCAGGGACCTTTCCTCGCATTTGTTTTTTTTGTTTTTTATGTTCTTTTTGGAAGTTTTTGGGTGTTTTTTTTATTTTTTTGTTATTTTTTCCCCTTCCCCTGTTTCCTTGGCTTGCATCTTGTCTGAATGCAGAGAGGGATTGTTGACGCGTTTGCCAGGGGGTGAGGTTGGGGGGGGAGAGGTGTTAGATATTAGGCTTCATGTGAAGGGGCAGGAGGGAGTGGTATTAGATTTTAGGCTCCATTGAGTGAGGGCAGGGGAGGTGTGGTAAACTTTATGCTTAATTGTGCAGTGAAGAGCTGTGAAGTAGAAGATCTTGACCATGAGTTTGCCAGAAGGTTGAGGGAGGAGGGGGGAGGAAAGGGGGGGGGAGGAGGGGGGATGGGGTTGTTAAATTTTAGGCTTCATTGTGTGGTGAACACCATTATTTGGGTTTACCATGGAGATGGATTGGTTTCATTGCACACTGTCCGGTGTGACTTGCAGGCGCCAAGCATAACTGCTGTGTGATGAGTTTGGGGTCCTTAACCAGAGGGAGAACTGGGTTTGACTCCAGGGTTTCACTCCAGGGTGTGACTGCAGCGTTGGGTTTGATTCCAGGGTTTGACTGCAGCTTTGGGTTTGACTCCAGGGTGTGACTGCAGCTTTGGGTTTGACTCAAGGGTGTGACTGCAGCTTTGGGTTTGACTGTAGGGTTTGACTCCAGGGTGTGACTGCAGCTTTGGGTGTGACTCCAGGGTGTTACTGCAGCTTTGGGTTTGACTGCAGGGTTTGACTACAGGTTGTGACGTCAGCTTTGGGTTTGACTGCAGGTTTTGACTCCAGGTGCGACTGCAGCTATAGGTTTGACTGCAGGCTCTGACTCCAGGGTGTGACGGCAGCCTTGGGTTTTGACTGCAGGGTTTGACTACAGGGTTTGACTCCAGTGTGGACTGCAGCTTTGGGTTTGACTGCAAGGTTTATCTCCAGGGTGTGACTACAGCAGCCTTCCACTAGGTAGTTTCACCTTGGAGGTGGTGTCATGAGGCGTTCCTTTCCCTGAAGTGAAGTGGGCTCCTTCACTAGTGTCTTTGCCCTGGACGGTATGTTTGGCGATTATGCATGAATTAGGGGAAACTTTCAGTCTAGATACAGCGATAGTGAGGGTGCTTCATGTTGTATTTGGAGGAAGGCAGTAGGACGTTAATCGCAATGCAATCATGAGCTATAGCTGCTGTACCATGGGGTTGGCGGCTGTTAGCCAGATCTACCATGAGGCTTATTGCGACGTTCAGTTTGCGGATGAGGCATGCTCTACGTCTCACTGTTGCGTTCGCTGCACATCGAGTTTTGTCGACCCTGGGTCCTGTGCTGTTTTATTTTGTGGTAGTCTAGTCTTGTGAAAAAAAGAAGAGAACTCGGCGT